CCACCACCCCAGTCTGTCTTAACTAATAATGGGGTTCAGGTCAAGGCCCTGAACCCAGTGGGCCTCGGTTTCTCCAAGTGTAAAGGAGGAGGCCATAACCCACACCACAGCTTCTCAAGCTATGGCGTGTGGCTCAGCGACCAGGCAGCAGGAGGAGGGCCAGGCTGAGGGCAAAGGGCACTGCCAATCACCGCACCTGCCCCGGCCCAGACCGGGTCCCGCCTGCCTCCCCTGCTACCCACAGCCCCTCCAGCTCCCTGGCCACCTCCAGAGGGAGAGGAGGGGGAAGGACCCCCTTCCTGAGCCCTGAGACAGGGTCCTCGCTTGCGGCAGGCACCACTCCCCGGCCTCACAGAAGACAGATCGCTCCCTTAATCACTCTAGAAAAGAACCCCAAGCCGATATAATATTATAATTAATTAATTCACTAAAAAGGTATTAAATTTCTCTCCCCCCTGAATATTATCTGAATTCATTGACCTTTAGAAAAATCACCCTCTAATTGTAACCAGGTCCAAAAGCATTTGCAGCCTGTCCCTTTTACATTAATAATATCTTCCCGGACTCGGCTCTGGCTGCTTAAATATTGTATAAATTTCACTGCCCCCCTCAGAAAAGAGAGAGCAAAGAAAAAAGATGAGGCTGGAGGAGCCCGAGAGGGGGATGGGGGCTGGACCCTGGGAGGTGAAGGTCTCAGGAGGTGAGGGACAGGAGGTGAATTGAAGGAGCTCTTTCTAGCTGCTCCAGCTGATATGCCAGGTGGTGTGGAGGGGCCCGGGCTCCGAGATGGGGAGGGAGGCATGGGTTGGGAGCAGAAGGGTTAAACTTAGGGTTCGTTGTTAGGAGGCTATGTGGGGGGTGATATCCATAGTGTATATGAGACGCTCATCCAAGCCAGTATCTCCAAACAGTGAAGAATCTCTGATTTAAAGGAACAGTGGGTGAAAAATCTACAAACAATAAATGCTGGAGAGGCTGTGGAGAAAAGGGAACCCTCTTGCACTGTTGGTGGGAATATAAATTGATACAGCCACTATGGAGAACAGTATGGAGGTTCCTTAAAAAACTAAAAATAGAACTACCATGCGAACCTGCAATCCCACTACTGGGCATATACCCTGAGAAACCATAATTCAAAAAGAGTCACGTACCACAATGTTCATTGCAGCTCTATTTACAATAGCCAGGACATGGATGCAACCTAAGTGTCCATCGACAGATGAATGGATAAAGAAGATGTGGCACATATGTACAATGGAATATTTCTCAGCCATAAAAAGAAACGAAATTGAGTTATTCGTAGTGAGGTGGATGGACCTAGAGTCTGTCACACAGAGTGAAGTAAGTCAGAAAGAAAAACAAATATCATATGCTAACACATATATATGGAATCTAAAGGGGAAAAAAAGGTTATGAAGAACCTAGGGGCAGGACAGGAATAAAGATGCAGACGTAGAGAATGGACTTGAGGACACGGGGAGGGGGAAGGGTAAGCTGGGACGAAGTGAGAGAGTAGCATGGACATATATATACTGCCAAATGTAAAATAGATAGCTAGTGGGAAGCAGCCGCATAGCACAGGGAGATCAGCTCCGTGCTTTGTGACCACCTAGAGGGGTGGGACAGGGAGAGTGGGAGGGAGATGCAAGAGGGAGGAGATATGGGGATATATGTATATGTATGGCTGATTCACTTTGTTATACAGCAGAAACTAACACACCATTGTAAGGCAATTATACTGCAATAAAGATGTTGGGGGAAAAAAAAAAAAAAGGAACAGTGGGTGATGGAAACTTGAGAAATTCCAAGAAGGACATACTGAGGTCCTGCTTCTCCCCTCTCCATCCCCACCCCAGGCCTCTCTCCACTTCTGGCTTCCCAGACAGCCCTGTTCTACAGATGGTGGATCAGGCCTTGGAGGAGATGCCATTGGACATCCAAGACTTCCCTGTGCTGAGGAGGTGGAGCCGAGAGCCAGCGCCACCCCCGGCCTGTCCTCAGCAGGGCCTGGAGTCCACTCTTGGCCTTCTGTCTGAACAAGCAGGGAAACGCTCCACAGACGTCAGGGGTAGAAAGCCACCTTCCTGTGTGTACACCCCGGTGAGTGTGTCTATTTTACTTCATGGGCCTCGGATCCCAACTTCCTCCCAGTACAAGAGGTGAGAAGCCAGCAGCTGGTGGGGGAAGGACAGGCGGATACAGGGGGTGGAGCTGGGGATGGCAGGACCCTCACACCCAGTATACCTGCTTGGCTTTTGGGGCTCCACAGGGGACCCAAAGGAGCTGCAGCTGCTTGTCCTCCCTCAGCCTGGCTTGGACCCCTTCCCAGACCCCACGACCTTTTCACACTTTGGCTTGTTCCCAAGGCCGTGGAGTTTTCCTCAGTGAAACAAGGGGGTTTCACAGGTGCGTCTCTGCCTTCACACCAATCCCTCACCCACTCCACCTTTTTACAAACAGTTTCCCCGTCGTGGACCCGACGTCTGGTAAGGTGTTGTCTACCAAGTAAAGGGTGTGGATGTTTAATCAGACATGTTCATAACCACCGGTCAGAAGCTGTTGGCCGATGCCATTCCAGCCACAAGCTAAGGGTCATGCAGACCAGTCTCAGATACACAAACACTTTCTGGTGGCTTGCTGAAATTCTGGAGGTAGCCTCTGTGCCTGCTTGAGCCAAACCTGCAGGGCTCGCAGGCAGACACCTTGAAAAGCACAATTAAGCTGAGACATCGGCCCCACCCACCCCTGCCAGGGGAGCCGGCAGCTGCCCGCTCCTGGCTCTGTGGCACCCTCCTGTGGGCAGAAACCCCCCGCCCCACTCACTCCCAAGTGCTGCCCCGTGGGCTGGCTATCCAGACCCTTCTTCCCAAGCTGCAGGTGGTGGCCAGGCTGAAGGAACCTCGGGGCAGGAAGCCTGCAGGCAGGTGGAGGGGGGATACCATGGTCTTGAGGGGCTGCTTGAGGAAGCAGGAGGGCAGCTCTCCACTCCACTGAGTCAGTCCCCAGGGTGAAGGGGGAGAACAGATGGGGGGTAGGAGAGAGTCCTCAATGGCCTGAAGGATGGCCTTGGGATTTCCACACCCCCATGCCTCCCCCATCAGGTCTCTCCCAGCCAGAGTCCAGGACCTGCCCCAGGAGGGGCTGAAAGGGAGGTTCCCAGGCTGTGGGCAGGTCCCGGCAGTAGGGTGGCGCCTGGAAGTGGAAGGAGGTGCCAGCACCTGGGCTGGCTCCAACTCACAAGGTCATCCACGGCTCCATCTGACCTTGAGATTAATCCCCAGCCCAGCCGCCATCAGCACCCACACACCCGGCCCCCTTTCCTTCTCTCCCGCACACATTAATTGTTCCATCGTTGATTCAATCTCCCATTCTGCAAGGAGGAAATTGCCCATTTAACCATTTTCATCCTGGGATTTTTCTTTTTCTTTTTTTTAAATTAGGCCCCTTTGGCCTCATAAGGCCCCATGAGGGGGAAGCCACTTTGGCCTTTGCCTGAAGAGACTGTGGGAAGTCGAGGGAGAACCAGGGAAAGCCCCCAGAGACCCTCTCCTCCCTCCCCCCAGAAACCCAGGGCTCAAAAAGCTCCCCCTTCACCCCTCTCTGCCCCAAGCCCGTTTCCCCAACCTGGGTGAGGTCATAAAGTCCCAGGATCTTGGAGCAGAGGCCCCAGGAACTATTGTGCAGTGAGGGAGCTTTAGCCCAGAGAGAGAAAAGGGTTAGTGGGGGCCTGACTGCCTGATGGTGCCGGAGCAGAACCCACGCCCTGGGCACCACCCAGCGTCCTGTGCTCCCACCTCCTCCCAAACTGGTTTACACGGTCCCTCTTTCCTCAAACCCATAGAAGGATGCAGCCCCTCACTTCCTAGGGAGCCTGTCCTGCTAGAGACACTAAGTCAGAGGGCAGAGGGCCTTGCCCGCACAGATCAGGCAGCCCACCTATGGAGGGGAAAGAACTGGGGGTGGGAACAGGAGAAACATGACCCCCATCCCCGGCCAGGAGTAGCCTGGACCCACAGTGCCCAAGAGCAGCAGTTAGGAGCAGTAGACTTGGTTTACAAGCAACGGGGGTCTCCCACATCACCCGGGTCAGCGGTCTCAGGCCACAGCTGGAGGTGTGAGACCAGCAGGGCTGTGGCGCCACCTTGTGGCCGCGAGGAGGGACAAGGCCCCCGGCAGCTCCCGAGCCACCTAAGTAAGGCTAGATCTCTCCAGCTTCCCATGGGGCAGGGCTGGGGAGCTGGGGGAAACTAGGTGATGGACTCAGTCCCTCCTGCCTGTATCCCCTTTCCCTGACCCCATGGGGGCATTTGAACTCTGAATCCAGAAAGGAGCCCACTGGGTTGAATCCTCCCATCTCTGTTGTCCCCAGACCCCCCTCCAAAGAGACAGGACAAACAGGTACAAAGCACAGTGTTTACTAAAGGCACAAAGTGGGGAGACTGGAGGGGAGCTGCTCTTCCAGCAGTGACCCCACTCTAACTTGAACCCAGCGCCTCCTCTTCTGGCCACCCCCGCCCTCACACCACTTGGTGGAGAGCTGTTAGCACCAAAGGGGGGTGGGGGGAGTGCCAGGCTGGAGGATGGGCTTGTTGCCATCAGAGTCCAGAAAGGCAGGCCTGGGCACCCCCTGGACCAGTCACTGCCTCCAAGAAGGAACCTCTGGACCCCTGGTTCCAATGAGTCCTCCTTCATCGGTGGGGGGGACCAGGCTCAGAAGGTAGGACCTCGTCTTACCTCCAGCACACCCTGTATCCTCCCTCACCCTCATGATTTCACCTCCGGGAGCCAGGCTGAAGGCCTATTTCTGCCCAGCCCCATCAAGAGGGCTGCCCCTGGGTGGGGGGCTTCCGACCCCGTGGACTGCCAAGGGCACTAAGCCCAAACAGGGGGCCAGCAGGGCGGAGTGAGGCAGGGGCTACTTTACACACAAGTACAGGCTGGAGGGTGGGAGGGAGGTGGCCCTGGCTCTCCCAACCCCAGGCCCACCCCCGTGGCCCAGGTCACAGCACGTCGCCCTCCTCCATGCTGAAGCTGCTCCTGCGGCTGCTGGCTTTGGAGGCCTCGGGGGACATGGTGGAGAAGAGGGGGTCGGAGGCCAGTGGTAGCAGTGAGTCGTCCAGGAGCATGAGGTCCAGATCCTTCTTGGACAGGTTGGGGAACGGGGAGCCATGCTCTGGCCCCAGAGGTTCGGGGTAGCCCGGGGGCCCTTCGTTGCCCCCGCCCCCAAAGCTCAGGCTGTGGCTGAAGTCCAGGTGGTGGAATGGGGACGGTGGCTGGGCTGGCTGGGCTGGCGGGGGCAGCTGGGCCTGGGGGGGCAGAGCCGGCAGTGGCTCAGGGTCGGGGACCTCGGCCCCCAGCAGCAGGGCCTCCCCCGGACCCTCCTCGCTGGGTAGCTCCTGCTTCACCACCTGCTGGGCCAGCTCGGCCATGTTCATGCCCGAGGGCGAGGTGGTGGGGAGGCCGTGCACTCGAGCCTGCATCTCCAGCTCCTGCAGGTGCAGCAGACAGAGGCTGGAGGCGCACACCCGTGGGCACCCGTTGCCCGCCCCCCACCTCCGCTGCAGCCCTTGCCCCTCCCTTTGTGGCACCCAAGACCACAAAATGTCTCAGCTGGGAGGAAGCACAGGGTAGCTCTAGAATCTAGACCAGTGTCTTTTCAAACTACAAGTCGCAACTCATGAGTGGGTTGGGAAACCACTACAGTGAGCCTTAGACCAGCTCTCTATTTTTTTAATTGAAATAGACTTGCCTAGATTAGACTAGATGAGAAACTGTCAGAATGCACTTCATCTATTAAGGATGAGGGTTCTTTCATGAAACTTTGATTTTTCACTTTGAGTATGGCTATGTGTGCTGGATTGTAATGTGAATTGTATTATCTACCATAAGAAATAGAAAAATTTTAAGCTGTAGTCCAGCTGCCCTTTGTATAGGTGACCAGCCTCAGGTCCAAAGAGGACAAGAGGCCTTCAACACAGAGCCAGGACTAGGCAGCTCTAGGTGGTAGGATGGACTCTCCCAAGCCTTTGTTCTTTCTCTTGTCCCCTGTGGTGATTCTTAGCATTACCCACCATAAAGTCCCAGCTCTCTGCCTCCCACAGGGGTAGGTTTGCCCTTTCCTGCCCCCTTGACGTTAGGTATAGGCATGTGCTTGCATTGATGGAGGAAATGTGAGCAGAAGGGACAAGTGTCACCCTAAGGGTGACACAAGGCTTTAAGAGCCAGCTCTAGACGTGCCTGTCCGTCAGCTTGGGTCCCAGAATGAGGGTCTCACAGAACAGGCCCTCCAACTGACATCTGTTGCTTAAAGCTGCTGGGGATTGTTTGTTACCAAGCTATAACATCCTGACTGATATGTCCTCCCTCCTCATGGGCATCATCCCCATGTCTCCAACTTCAGAAGTATAAGCACTGCCCCTGGGGTCAGGACTCAGGCCAGGGGTCAGGAGTCAGAGCTACCCAAGAAGTCCAAGTTCAGGGGCCAGACCTGGATGCGGAGCCAGAGCTGCTTGTTGGTCATCTCCAGGCGCCGAGAGTGGTTCTCCAGCTCCCGGGACTTCTGCAGGTCCTTCTGCATCCTCCGGATGTAATCAACAGAGGCCTTGAGGATGGTGCCCTTGTTCCAGCGCACATCCCTGTAGGCCAGGCAGAATCAGAGGTGCATGTTCAGGGGAGGGGGCAGGTATTTGCCAGGAGCTTAGTGGGTGGAAGTAAAACCCTGTTCGGAGCTTATGTCGCCTCTCCCAACTTTGCCCCAAATCCCAGATCCAGCCAACCCCTACGTATGAAGGAAGCTGATCTCCATCTGCACAGAACAGGCCTTCCCAGGTAACTGTGGTGCTACCACCCACGTCACTAATCCCAGGAACCAAGCAATTTGGAGCAGCCTCCTTCCCCAGGCCTCCCATTCCTGCCACCAAAACCCACACCCACAGTCATCCTTGACTCTCACTACTCCTGTCCCTGGACCACCTCTGCACCAGTCCTGTGGCCTTGCCAAACTTTCCCAGCATGACTCCAGCATGACTCCTCCTTCAGGAAGTACCCCTGACCCCACCCTCACTTCTGGGACATCTGCTCCTCTGTCTTGAGCCTTCCTTATTTGGGGGAGGGAGGAATCTTCTTTCCCAAATAGATGATAAGCTCTTTAAGGCAGCAACCAAGGGATTCTCTTCCCATCCCTTCCCCCTGGCAACCAGCAGATAATACCTGTGAGCTGCTGCCCTCCCTTCCCTTCCTCCAGGAAACCCACTCACAAGTCGTTGGCCTTGGGGATCAGCATTCCCAGCTCCTTGATGCGGTCATTGATGTTGAACCTCCGTCTCCTTTCAACTAAAAGTAACAAATTCCAGGAGGGGCCATTAGGAGGATGAGGACCCCACCTGGGATGAAGGGTCCAGCCCAAGCAGGGATGCCTTAGTCCTTCTGGGAAGTAATGGGTGACCAACCAAATGGGATTTCTATGGGGGTGAGGGGGTCGTGGGGGGGGCAGGTCGGACACAGCTAAGGGGGTCAGGCTGTAGCGGGCGAAGCTGCCTAGGGAAGACTCTCTCTCTCCACTGCCCAGAACTCCTTCCCAGACTCCACGCCCTAAAGAAAACAATCTGATAAACTCATTCCCTCTGAAGTGCTGGGAATTTCATGAATATCTCTTCCCTGGAGCGCCTCTCCCACCCCTTCCTAGAAAGGGCTGACGGGAAGAGGGCTGTGCTGAACCCAGTCACACCAATGCCAGGATTTTAAATCCTTGGGTAGGGAATCCTTCCTAGAAGCTGTGCAGGTCAGAGTGGCTTTTGAGCCAGCCCAGGTGAGGGGAGGAAGAGGGGCTGGGGAGACTCACTGAGGTTGTGATTGTCTTTCTTCTGTCGCTCCTTGGCCAGGGCCCGGCTCTCAGCGTCTGGAGAACAGGAGAGGAGAGAGGAGCTGGGAGGGGAAGGCAAGCGGCAGGACTCGGGAGCTGGGGCGCAGGGAAGCAGCGGGCTGGTACCTGTAAGCTCTCGCTTCTGGGTCAGGTCGGCTGGGCAGGAGCTGCTGGTGACGCCCACCAGGGAGGTGGTGACCTGGGGGTCTCCACTGTACACATTTAGGTGACTGCTGGACAGGGGCAGCTGCAGGGTGAGGTGGGGAAGGGTACCCGATGAGCAGCCCCCTGTCTTCGGGGGGCTCTCCCCAGGGCCCATCGTCCCAGGATTCCCCGGGACACTGGGGGAGGCTGTGCTGGGGTCACCCAGGGCAGAGTCCAGAGCTGAATAAGAGGCAGCCCCTGCCCTCAAGGAGCAACCAGCCAGCGCTGGGAAGCAGCTGGAGAGAGAGGAGATAGTGGGTGAGAGGATTTCCCCCAGGGCCTTTGGAAGTCAAGGGGAGGGGCACCTAATCTATTCTGGAGTTTCTGGAAGGTTTCCAGAGGGCGTGGTGAGGAAGGGCACTATGGGCTGGGGGATGGCTGAGCTGGGAAGCAGCCAGGACACAGCATGAGGTCACAAGCGCCTCAAGCCGACGCTGGAGGGCAGGTGAGACCCTGGGACTTGGTGCTGAGCAGCCATTGGGGGTTTAAAGGGGCCCCACCGGGACAGGTTTGAGCTCTGGAAAGATCTTCCCAGTTCCTGCCACACATTCACGCAGAGCAAATCACAGGCCCAGAACCCTGCAGGGTACCCTGGCCCCCACTAAAGGGGCCAGACGCTGTGCCCTCCTCTCTGGCCTCCCAGCCCCTGATGCCCCTGCTGGCAGCAGGTTTCCAACCCACTGGCCCCTGCCAACTCCTGATGAGCCCCGGGGCACTGTCACCAGGCAGCGGGGATTGAGGACTGACTCCTTGACTTCTCTCAGCAGCATGGGCTGGGGCCCAAGGGGCAGGAGTGAGCAGCTAAGGTTCAGGGATCTCCAAAAAAAAGGGAAGGGGACGCCTGCAACTCCACCTGCTCAGTGTAAGTACCTGTCCCCCTTGTGCAGAGCTAGCCCCCAATTTCTTGCCTTATCTAATTTTCCCACCAGCCCGTGGGTAGAAGGCATCATCCCCAGGGGCTCAGAACAGTTAAGGGACTTCCCAGAGTCACAGCCAAAGCCAGAATCGAGGCCTCTTGATTCCAAGCCTGACCCCTTCCCACCTGACCTGTCACCTCTGCCCAGGAAGCCCAGAGAGCATTAACGCTGCCAGGAGGCTGCCAGAGGGAGGGAACCGAACCAGCCTGAAACCACTTGCCCCTCGGAGTGAGGGCCACAGGCCTGTGCTTTCTGGGTCCTGGGCTTGGTAGAAGAGGGGCCCGCATATCTCAGAGAAACTCATCAGCTCCAGGCCTTCCTGGGGCCACACTGCTCCCCTCAGTACCAGTGCCTCCTGCCCCACCTCCGACCCAGGAAGCCTTCCCCAGCCACCTCTCCCCGCAAGCCCCACCATGCGCGCAGGCTAAGGTGCACTCTCTGGATTCACAGCTCTGCCGGACCCTGGGCCCTCATCACATGATTTGATGGAGGTGACTCTCATCTCTGTAGGAGATATTCTAGTTCTCTCCAGGCTCACAGCCGCTGTAGGGCCACTGCCCCTCCCTCTGACACACCCACCCCGCCCTGGCCAGCAATACCGTATTGGGAATCTGAGTTTCGGGATTGATGAAGCCCAGGACATCGTCCAGACACATAATGTTGTCGATGACATCAAACTGAAAGGGGAAAAAATAGTCCATATTGGGGGGTGCCTACTCGGAGAAAGGCAGGGAAAAAGGGGCACTGGGACAGCCACTGACCTGAAGGGACCTTGGTGCCCACCTCACCCCATCTGCTCACCTGGGGGGAAGTAAACAGACCCAGAGAGAGGATGAGCTGTCCAGGTCCCCCAGGCCCCAAGGCCCAGGCCATGGCTCTTCCCAAGGAGCCAAGTTGGCCAGGCAGATGGCTTTATATACCTTCTGTCAGGACATGGCTTTGCAGGTGTGCTGGGCATTC